GACTTACGGTAGCTAATTTACATACTGTACAGACGATAGTTCGCCTAAACTCTCCGTAGCGTAGCGCTAGACGGCGGAGAGCATATATACTTAATTATAATAAAGTTACAATAAATTAAGTTAATATATAATTATATATACAGTACCTAATTTATAGATAATTATATGTACAGACGAAACTAAACTCAATTTACCCGCCTAAACGTCCGTAGCGTGGCGCTACGGACGGCGGGAAAGTAGTTCGGCTGCCCGATGACGTTTTACGTAATTATAGGAGTTTTTTTACCGTTGTGTACAGATACCGCCACAATTTTTTCGCCGTCTTATAGGAATCGTAACTATAGGAAACAGTTTTACAGGGGGATCTACTGTATTATTATCACTATCATGAGCGTTTATCTGCCTATTCAAACTAGAAATTTTTAGGGCATTAAAATTACACCATATTTGTTTGATTTAAATTTGATTTTTTCAAAGATATTTTGTTCATACGGAATTTTAAAAAATTTATGAGTGGGATTGTTGCTTTCATGTTTCTGTTTATTAGTTTCACTATTATTGATCCAGTTGTTGATTATACGTTTGCTTTAACCATTCATTAAAAACATTTTTATTACATTTTGTTTTTCAGTTGTTTTGGAGGAAACTCAATAATTGAATATTTTCTTCTTTTTTTTTACACGACCTCAACCTGGCTAATATATCATTAGCCAGGTTGAGGTCGTCGTTTTAAAGTCGTAAACGTGTACGTCGGTCGTTCGGCGCCGCTTTCCCGTAAGCCTAGAAGTTTGACGATGGTGTTTGGAATGTCGAGCGTGATTCCAGCATTCATCGTACTATTTTCTTTTAGTAACTACAATGCGTCAGAGACTTATCTATGTAAAAGTATTTTTTATATTCTTATTTTTTATATTCCATTGACAGATATGAAATGGTCATAAGTGCAAGTAGCAGCACAAATTATTGCTTGATAATTGTCGATTTTATAGATCTCGTACGAACATTTTTTATTCTAAGCAAATGATCGGCAGTTACTCGTATGTATGTACTGTACGTGTACGCTGAACAAGTAATAAACACTTGGATAAATACTCTGCCGAATACCGAACATGTGGATGCACTTTAAAAAATAGGGTAACTTTCTTGTTATTTATTTGTTTTTTTTCTAATATTACTATTATGCGCATTTGACTTAAATAAAGTGATAATAAGTTATAGGGATTTTAAATTGTACAAATCCGAGCATTCAAACTACAACAAAATTCTCGGGCAATTTGCCAGTTTAAAAGACTTTTGTATTCTAATATTTTTCTTTCATTTACATTACAGTGTTTATGTAACGAAATATTTAATATTAGACTCTTAATATATTATCGTGAAGCTGTGCATCTTGTTAATTATATGGAATATCATATTGGTACGAAAATGAAACGGGCACGCATTCTTGTGGCTGCCACTCAAATTAAAAAATGCAGAAACACGTTGCGATAAATAAATTATTATGACTATTTTAACGAAATTTTTCATATTAATAGAATTTTTAAAATGACAGGTTGTGAAGTTTCAAATTCAACTTTGACCGNAAAATGAAACGGGCACGCATTCTTGTGGCTGCCACTCAAATTAAAAAATGCAGAAACACGTTGCCATAAATAAATTATTATGACTATTTTAACGAAATTTTTCATATTAATAGAATTTTTAAAATGACAGGTTGTGAAGTTTCAAATTCAACTTTGACCGGTACATACAGGAAGTTGAATGCCGTCCTCAAAGTTAAGTAAAAGGAAAAATTTGACTTTGTAATAACACAAATAACAATAACGTAATCGCTGGCGTTGACGCATGTGCGAAATAAGGTGAAACTACATTTTTCTCGAAAAGTTAATCATCTATACATCAATAATCCTCTAACACAACGTTTACTATGCAATATAAAGCAATTTTAAAACAAAAGTAAAAAGATACTACTTATGCAGAGTGACAAGTCTTTTAAATTTTTTACATTAGTTATAATGTAAAACGGGTTCACAGGCCGTTGCTGCGCTTTAATCAGAAACAATGTGCTCATAGTTTACTGCAGTGTCTACAATACAAACGAACAGAATTTGGCAATAAAAAATTTTTTTACAATATATATCCAATTATTATTCCAAAATATACATTTTGCATATTCTAACATGGTTAACGAAACTTATTTGTACGATTGCTGTACAATATATTTATTGCTTGTATGAATAAATCGAATATAACTAAATTAAATCAAAATACTTTTATAATATACGATACACAGTTATTGAGCTGCAACTCGAAATAACTGTAGGCCTGTAAATTCCTACTGTCGATTGACTGTTTGACTGTTATTCTTTAATTTCAAGAACGAAGTGAAATATACGAAGATCGAGACATGCCGTCGTCATCCTCTGCACGTTCGGCCCTAACTAACCATAAACGAACTTTGCATGAAAAGCGTAAGTCTCATTATTCCAACTCAAATATTTTTTCTTGAAAGGTATTTGATAAATGACGGGTACGATTCTGTTGTTAGAGAAATAGTATGATGTACAGGGACAAGAAACCACTAATTTGAGTCGAGGATATATATTGTAAATTAAATAAATTAAAAATATGATAAAAAATTGTTGCTCGTTATTCTGACGATATCACAATAAATAATTTCTTGTAATAATCTTTTTATTTATTTTTATAACAAACTTTAATTTTCCAGAAAATAAAGGCAACGGCCAGGAGATGAATCTTCCGTCTTTGTCGTTTTTACCAGTTTTGTGGAACATTGTATTTTCTCAACGTGACAAGCGATACCACAATTCATTCATCGGGATACGTATGTTAATAAAATTTTATTGGGCAATTTGACTGTTTATAAATACATAAACATTTTTCGTATCTTTCCAGTTACTTTAAATTTATTCACTGGACTCTCTACGCTATTTCCAAACAAGAAAGTTGCCTGTACGAACATATTTAGATATAAATTATTTTTTTTCTTACATCCGGAATGTGCGAAGGTAATTAAACATGTAATATATTCATTACGAATGGAAATATACAGTATCACGTTTTGTAGGAAGTGTTAAGAAGCAACAGTTTAATCAATAAGGATTCTAGTTACGATTTTTTCAAGCCACTTCTCGGAGATAACAGTTTTCTGTACAGGTAATACATTATTTGATATTTAGTTCAAATATCGTTGTTTACAATTTTGTGAATTTAATTAAATAAAGTTCTGACGATAACTGGAGAAGAAGAAGAAAATATTCAGCTCCACTTTTTCATCTTTGGAATTTGAAAAATGATCAAAGTGTATTTATGGAGCATTCAAACGTCTTAGTGGAAAAACTCAAACAATTGCAGAAGAATGAAATATTCGATATTCTGGAATGGATGAAATATTGCACTCTCGATATAATTGCAGGTATTACTCTCTAATGTAAAATATTTAATCAAGAATTAAAAATATCAATTTGTTTATAGGTAAACATTAAATAAAATATTTATTCTGTCAACTTATTGCTATAAGTATACATCACGTAGAAAAACTTATTGTTATAAGTATACATCACGTAGAAAAAGTATGAAACGAATTTTAAAAAAATAATATATATACATATATATGTCACTGCAAGAAAAGTAAGCTACTGAACTTTCCTTAACGAAATTAACAATGAACAACGGCAAAAATTAAAAAAGTTTTCTTTTTTTAACACTTACGCATTTCCTGGTAATTACGGTCTTACTCGTGTAAAATTCTAACAAACAGGATGACTTACTTTTTATGTGACTGTCGTTTTTATTAACACTGTCTTTTTCTAGCGACAGTAGTTAAAACTATAGCCGAGTTAAAACTTACTTTTCACGACCACACAAATTACTTCCTGTTTCGTTTAGTACTATTTTCTTTTAGTAAAACTACTCTGTTTTGAAAACGTTTCCGAAAACGAACATTATTTTCAAACGACGTATATTTATTTATCTAAAAAATATAAATATCAAATTATTTCTGTGTAGACATAGCAGTAGGAGTTTCTCTACATTCTCAGACTACGAACGATCAAGAATATCTGTCTGCATTAAACAGGTATGAAAAATTTTGTTCCAGATATATTTTTTCATATTTCAAATAATGTTTACAAATGTAATATCTATATTGAATAATATAATGTCACTTTTTATCTGATGAAAGTTTTGAAATGTTCGTGTTAATGTCGGTAGAAACAATACGAAACAATTCAAATTTTGATTGTTTATCAATTAACCGAATATTAAAAGTTTGTATATTATAAATGAAGTGTTTTTGCTATACGTGCTAGTAGTAATCAAAAGTTGTTAGAACAATGTATAGTGAGAAGTATCGAGATTCTATACAAATACAATGTGTTCATCAAGTACGTATGATAGATTTTCAAATTAATGTACTTATCAGCTATAATGTTTTAAATGTAAACTTCACGTATTTCGTACACAGAAGAGACAATTTGTAACATGAACGACAAATGTGTGACAGGTCAACTTTCTGCAAAGCATACCGTTATCGCAATAAATTACAACTATTCATCTAATTTTGTGTCTTTCTCCTGTTGTTTCAGTACTATAGGAGAAGTCTTTATGATAGCGAAAACATAACGTTTAAACATCTAATCATAATGTAAAAATGTACAGTCTATCAACTTATTTCTAACATTACTCAAAAATAAATTAATTGCGATATGAAATGATTTCGAATTTATGATTTTAAATTAAATTTTATTTATTTTAAATTATTGCAATTTCAGAAAATTCTGTAATGTTTTTCACATGAGATATATAACAGTAGTAAAATGTTTGGCCCACACTGATCACTATATTAATTTTTAAATAAAAATTGATTGGTACTGATCACAAATTTGAATTAAATTAATTTGTAATATTGTTAAAAACATTTGATAATTAATTTCATTAACATTTGTGATTACTGCTTAAATATTATTACAGTAGAGCGTCGTTTATCCGAAAGCTGATTATCCGAAACGTCAGTTATCCAAAAGCATTCCAGTCGGCAAATTGAAATTTTCGTTAGTGCTGTGCGCTGCAATCTTCGGCTATTTCTCGGGCTACTCAAATATTTTACGTTTTTGATACTAAATTAACATCTGAAGTATAATTTTTTATTGTTTTTATATTTTTCAATAAATTTATTTTGTTTGTACAAAATAAAAAAATAATTTTTAACGATACAATAGTCTTCGTTAGGCTTAACATCGACGAAAATTCAACGCNAAATAATTTCTTGTAATAATCTTTTTATTTATTTTTATAACAAACTTTAATTTTCCAGAAAATAAAGGCAACGGCCAGGAGATGAATCTTCCGTCTTTGTCGTTTTTACCAGTTTTGTGGAACATTGTATTTTCTCAACGTGACAAGCGATACCACAATTCATTCATCGGGATACGTATGTTAATAAAATTTTATTGGGCAATTTGACTGTTTATAAATACATAAATATTTTTCGTATCTTTCCAGTTACTTTAAATTTATTCACTGGACTCTCTACGCTATTTCCAAACAAGAAAGTTGCCTGTATGAACATATTTAGATATAAATTATTTTTTTTCTTACATCCGAAATGTGCGAAGGTAATTAAACATGTAATATATTCATTACGAATGGAAATATACAGTATCACGTTTTGTAGGAAGTGTTAAGAAGCAACAGTTTAATCAATAAGGATTCTAGTTACGATTTTTTCAAGCCACTTCTCGGAGATAACAGTTTTCTGTACAGGTAATACATTATTTGATATTTAGTTCAAATATCGTTGTTTACAATTTTGTGAATTTAATTAAATAAAGTTCTGACGATAACTGGAGAAGAAGAAGAAAATATTCAGCTCCACTTTTTCATCTTTGGAATTTGAAAAATGATCAAAGTGTATTTATGGAGCATTCAAACGTCTTAGTGGAAAAACTCAAACAATTGCAGAAGAATGAAATATTCGATATTCTGGAATGGATGAAATATTGCACTCTCGATATAATTGCAGGTATTACTCTCTAATGTAAAATATTTAATTAATAATTATAAATAACAATTTGGTAATACGTAAACATTAAATGAAAGATTCATTTTTTAACTTATTGCTTATCAAATAGAAAAAGTATAAAATAAATTTTATAAAATTGTATATATACATATATATGTCACTGCAAGAAAAGTAAGCTACTGAACTTTCCTTAACGAAATTAACAATGAACAACGGCAAAAATTAAAAAAGTTTTCTTTTTTTAACACTTACGCATTTCCTGGTAATTACGGTCTTACTCGTGTAAAATTCTAACAAACAGGATGACTTACTTTTTATGTGACTGTCGTTTTTATTAACACTGTCTTTTTCTAGCGACAGTAGTTAAAACTATAGCCGAGTTAAAACTTACTTTTCACGACCACACAAATTACTTCCTGTTTCGTTTAGTACTATTTTCTTTTAGTAAAACTACTCTGTTTTGAAAACGTTTCCGAAAACGAACATTATTTTCAAACGACGTATATTTATTTATCTAAAAAATATAAATATCAAATTATTTCTGTGTAGACATAGCAGTAGGAGTTTCTCTACATTCTCAGACTACGAACGATCAAGAATATCTGTCTGCATTAAACAGGTATGAAAAATTTTGTTCCAGATATATTTTTTCATATTTCAAATAATGTTTACAAATGTAATATCTATATTGAATAATATAATGTCACTTTTTATCTGATGAAAGTTTTGAAATGTTCGTGTTAATGTCGGTAGAAACAATACGAAACAATTCAAATTTTGATTGTTTATCAATTAACCGAATATTAAAAGTTTGTATATTATAAATGAAGTGTTTTTGCTATACGTGCTAGTAGTAATCAAAAGTTGTTAGAACAATGTATAGTGAGAAGTATCGAGATTCTATACAAATACAATGTGTTCATCAAGTACGTATGATAGATTTTCAAATTAATGTACTTATCAGCTATAATGTTTTAAATGTAAACTTCACGTATTTCGTACACAGGAGAGACAATTTGTAACATGAACGACAAATGTGTGACAGGTCAACTTTCTGCAAAGCATACCGTTATCGCAATAAATTACAACTATTCATCTAATTTTGTGTCTTTCTCCTGTTGTTTCAGTACTATAGGAGAAGTCTTTATGATAGCGAAAACATAACGTTTAAACATCTAATCATAATGTAAAAATGTACAGTCTATCAACTTATTTCTAACATTACTCAAAAATAAATTAATTGCGATATGAAATGATTTCGAATTTATGATTTTAAATTAAATTTTATTTATTTTAAATTATTGCAATTTCAGAAAATTCTGTAATGTTTTTCACATGAGATATATAACAGTAGTAAAATGTTTGGCCCACACTGATCACTATATTAATTTTTAAATAAAAATTGATTGGTACTGATCACAAATTTGAATTAAATTAATTTGTAATATTGTTAAAAACATTTGATAATTAATTTCATTAACATTTGTGATTACTGCTTAAATATTATTACAGTAGAGCGTCGTTTATCCGAAAGCTGATTATCCGAAACGTCAGTTATCCAAAAGCATTCCAGTCGGCAAATTGAAATTTTCGTTAGTGCTGTGCGCTGCAATCTTCGGCTATTTCTCGGGCTACTCAAATATTTTACGTTTTTGATACTAAATTAACATCTGAAGTATAATTTTTTATTGTTTTTATATTTTTCAATAAATTTATTTTGTTTGTACAAAATAAAAAAATAATTTTTAACGATACAATAGTCTTCGTTAGGCTTAACATCGACGAAAATTCAACGCGAAGCGACACGCAACGGAGAGAAATTTCAACATGGGATAAATTAATATATTTTTTTGTACATGATTCGTTATCCGAAAAATAAGTTATCCGAACCACCCCAGTCCCCAATTGATTCGGATAAACGACGCTTTACTGTATTACATATTAGTACAACTTAATTTTAAGTTGGTGTTAAGTTAGTGTTAAAATAAAACAAATTTAATTCAAATTTGTGATCAGTGCTAATCAATTTTTATTTGAAAATTAATTTTGTTCGCAGTATGGCCCAAACTATTACTACTTATAATGTTAAATTTTATATAGATTTAATAGTTGATAATACTTTATTTCTTATTCAAGAATTAAATTTGCATTAATTAACTTTTGATATAAAAATAATTTATATTAAAACTTAGAATTCTGAAAACTTTTCCCGCATGGTTAGTAAATCCAATGTACTGGCTTCCCCAATTTTCTTCATGAGTAAAATGGGAAAAAATTACAAGACTGACATTGAAATAATTCATCGTTTCGACGAAAAGGTAAACTCAACTTGTGAATAAAATTTTTGTTTTGATTTGAGTAATTAACGATTTAATTTAATGTGTAGGTGTTCAAAAGAAGAAAAGAAAATTTTGTTAAAAAAAAATGCAGCAGCAACATTCCTTAGAGAAAGAAACATGTAATGAAGAAAAACCAAAGATGAAAACAAAACCGTGTATTATCGATTCCCTGTTGGATCTTCATGTCAATCAACGTTTAATATCGGAAGAAGACGTTATTAGAGATATGGAAGGCGCTATTTTTGCGGTAGGCATAATTTATTAAAGATGTAATCGGAAATAATTATATAATCGTGCACGCGTGTATTTCAATGATATTACAGTAGAGCGTCGTTTATCCGAATCAATTGGGAACTGGGGTTGTTCGGATAACTTATTTTCGGATAACCGATTATGTACGAAAAAATATATTAACCTATCCCGTGTTGAAATTTTTTTCCGTTGCGTGTCGCTTCGCGTTGAATTTTCGTCGATGTTAAGCCTAGTGTAAACTTTTTAAAATAATAATCGTGGTTATTGTATCGTTAAAAATGATTTCTTTATGTTATACGAAATAAATACATTGAAAAATATAAAAACAAATAAATATACTTTAGGCCGACTGGAATTCTTTCGGATAACCGCCGTTTCGGATANTCTTCATGTTAAACAAGGTTTAATATCGGAAAAAGACGTTATTAGAGATATGGAAGGCTTTATTTTTGCGGTAGGCATAATTTATTAAAGGTGTAATCGGAAATAATTATATAATCGTGCACGCATGTATTTCAATGATATTATATTCATTATTTTGAAGTAATTTTTTTCTAAACAACGTATTGAAATATAAGTAATTCCACAAACAGTTAACTTGGCGACAAAAATTATAATTAACGTAAAACCTATTTCAAAAATAATTATAGTTACTTTCTTGTAATTAGAAATTGTATTTAATTTAAGATGTTTGTGAAATCATTACATTTCATTCATAATTAATTGTTAAAGAAAATAATATTTGTAATTTCGGATTAATTTATAATTTTTCAACATCTAAAAATTTGCAGTTTTGAATTTTGTCTTTTTATATTTTTAAATTTTTATATTTGTTTTATATCCAAAGAAAGAAACTTTGGATATAAAAGATAATCATTTTTAGTTTCATTGAGGAACTGAAGTTTCGTTTGCAAAGGAGTGCATGTATCGCATTCTATTCTGTTAATTGTGTTAAAATTATAAACAGAATTGTTATAATGAATTTTTTAGAAATTTTAGTAACTTCTTTTTGTAATCTTTCTCAATTTACGTCGAATTTTCATCTATGCTGCTATGTACTGTACCGAAAACTTTCGAAATCAGATTACTGATATTTTATCGTAAATATTACGAAGAATTATGTGAACTGCTTGCTTCAAGAAATGTAGTTGTGGATTATAAAGTTTGCAAAGCCGTACATATATAGCATTTCAAGTTGTATGATATGAATATGGAAGTAGCGCGGCATTCACGCATGTCATATCCTAATTTTATCTGTTTATTACACAGTATTTATTTTACTGCAAATGTAAATTATATAGAAAGCAATTTTACATGTCTTTTCAACGTATTTTAATATCAGGGTTACGATACAACCGCCCACGCTATATCATGGACTCTTTATTTCCTGGGAAGATTCCACGAAATACAAGAGAAGGTATATCTAGAATTGCAAGAAATTTTCAAAAATGATATGAATAGCGATGATGATATTACTATCGATGACTTGACGAAAATGACGTACTTAGAATGCGTAATTAAGGTAACTTCTTAATTTTTTTAAGTACACCTAAAGATTAGTTTTATATGTTACAATTTTCAGGAGTCGATGAGAATCTATCCTCCCGCTCCTTTTATTGCAAGAAAAAATCCTTCAAAAATGAAAATAGGTAATTTTTGAAAAATTCTAATTTGCTTTTCTATTAACTTTAAGTATCAAATTGTTGTCATTCAAACAGGTAATTACGTGTTGTCTGCAAATTCGACTCTTGTCATCAGTATCTATGGCATCCATCATAATCCTTCTGTTTACGAAAATCCCGAAGTGTTTGATCCTGACCGTTTCTTACCTGAAAACTATAAAAATCTTCATCCTTACGCATTTCTGGCATTTTCTGCTGGTCCACGAAATTGTCCCGGTAAGTGATTAGTGAATAAATACAAAAACAAAAAAAATGACTTTATTACAATTATTCAAATTTACAGGAAATAAACTTGCCATGATTAAAATGAAAATGGTTTTGGCAAATGTTCTTCGTAATTTTAAAGTTTACTCTTTGGATCCTCAGGATAAAATTGTTACTTCATGGGATATTATGTTGACCCCAACATCGGGTATAAGAATGTGTGTAGAAAAAAGATGTATGTTTTAAGATATAAAATAAGCTGAACGTTGGGGTAATTTTTATTACAAATATATATAAACATAGAGTTATATCATATAATTTAGAAAAGTGCATTTAAAAACTGTATCGAAAGCGTTTGAATTTTACACGTAAATTATAATTCTTATTTTTATAAATAAAAAGTATGAGAGTAAAATGTATTATGATTATTTTTATTCAATTTGGTTTACAGTAATACTGATTTTCACTGTTTATTGCATTGTATTTATTTATCACATTGATAATTTCTCACATTTACGTTTACTTAAATTAAACTGTTGTTAACGATCTGTTGTTCGTATTTATCTGTATTATTTAAATTGTTCCGAACATAGATGATTCAGTAAATGATGTGTTGGACACAAAATATTTGTATTTTATTTTAGTATTTTTCTGATATGCTATATAATCAGTGTTGCCACAATGAAATTTCAAAACGTACTGAAGCGCCTTCAAAAAATGCTATATATATATATAGGCACGTAATATATATAGTTTATTGTCTAATAATTTAATTTAAAATTTTATTTTTGGAATTTTTTGAAAGCTATTTATAAATATCTACACATCTATTAGTTATTATAAAATGAGCATTACATTGACAACATTTATTAATAATACTATTGAATTTCCTCTCAATTTTATAACCAATCGTGCTTTAAAAAAATAATTATAAATTTGTTATATTATATTATTATATTCTTGTTTGCTTAAAACATGCGACTCAAAAAAAACCCAAAATGGCGGCTCAAGAAGTAGATCACGCGTCCTGGCCTTCTTATATAGACCTTGGAACAGTCGGAAGCGCGGCCATTTTGGAACCACACGTAACATTAACCGTTATTTCTTTTACTACGATTACTAAAATTGAAGTTCATAATTTAAGAATTAAATTATAGTGGTAGAAAATAATATAAAAGTATTTATATTATTTATACTCGTACAATCTCAAAACTATTTTCTGTAATAATTTGATTCTGACTAAACGGATATTTTGATATTATTGACGACAAAAGTTTAAAATCATTGATTTCCTTACCTGTCCATTATTTTTGTTTGACGAAGTTAAATTGTTTGGACCACGTGGCATGAAAAATTTTGTCAAGGTCCTGATGAGAATGTGCAGACAACTGAACGTGTGAAAGAAGACCACTGAGTCAAGACCGTGCAACTATCTATGTTGTGATTGGATAATTTAAATTAGCAAGCAGTGATACTAGTGAGACTTTATTAAACTCATTTTTTCTCATTTTTTCGTTAAGGCGTGAAATATTATTTTGTACCGTAAATGGTACTTGAGATATTATAATGTACTGAAAATTTACTAAAAATCTAAATGTACTTTCAATTTACTGGAAAGGGCAAAATGTACCAGAAAAGAACAAATGTACTAGGAACGGCAACACTGTATAGAATAAAAATTGTACAAATCCAAATTTAATAAAACTATTTAAAATCTTTCACTACTTAATTAATATTTACCTCTTTTAGACAGAAATGCTATGATTATATGGCAGACAGTTCGATAAAGCCTACTCGGTTTTCATATAAAATGTATACAATTGCCAAAGAAAAAGGTCCAAAATATAACACGTTATTATATATTACAAGAGTAATAAATAGGATTGTAACAATTTGGTGGGCTTATCTCATCAAGGCCGACCGAAAAATAGACCAGATCCTTTACAAAAAGCCAACTGCCATAAAATCCATAAGACAGTTTGAAGCCAAGTAACTGCCTTGTTACAAATGATGTCAATATATTTAGAATTAATTTTAAATTCACTGTCCTACGTGAAGAGTCTAGATTGGGTTAAACAATTGGTAAAATTGCTGTTAAATAACAAGTTTTTGAATCTTAAGGTAAATATTACTGACAATCAGAAGGTATACGAATGGGATCCTGCATAGGTCCTAGTTTAGCCGAGTTGTGAATGATCATAATTGATAAAGAAATCAATAAAACCCGANGGTTAAACAATTGGTAAAATTGCTGTTAAATAACAAGTTTTTGAATCTTAAGGTAAATATTACTGACAATCAGAAGGTATACGAATGGGATCCTGCATAGGTCCTAGTTTAGCCGAGTTGTGAATGATCATAATTGATAAAGAAATCAATAAAACCCGAGGTATAATAAGTTTTCAAAATTATGTAGATGACTGATTTATTGTCTATGATAGAAGCATACTAGATATTGATTGCTTCATTAAGGAAATTAATTTAATAAATAAAAATGTTCACTTCCAGTGTGAAAAAGTAGTAGATAATAGTCTGAATTTTTTAGGACTCACTATAGTTAGATTAAATTATTTACTTTTATTTTTGCTTTTTATTATATTTTTGTTTGGGGCTTATGTTTTGTTAGGACGAAGGTTTCCTCACCATTTACCTTAAAAACTTAAAAATAGAAGAGAAACCAACTCACCAAGGAGAGAAAAGCGCCGTAGAAAAAACTCGCGCACCCTTGCACTCCCGAGCGGAAAAAAGTAAGTCCGCACCGAGAAAAGGGGGGAGACCCCACAAGCACAACTTAGGGACTCGCTAAACCTTAAAGAATAAAAACATCCCGAAAATTGTCAAAAAGAATAATGTAAAAGGTTAGCGAGTATTGTCGGAAAATAGGCTGCCAGACAAATAGAAAAAGTTTATTGTTAGCAAATAAGTATGTAAATGAGGGGAGTGATCGCATTCAGAATTGTGACGTCACCTCACAGTATAAAGACCGAACCTCAAGTGAAGACGGACGAGGTGAGCTTCTGATAGCAACGAGCTTGGTGAGCTTCGTAGCAGTGAACGAGAGAGGTGTCCGATAGGATCAAATAGTTCCAAGGCGATTTTGAAGTTATTCGATTTGTGGATCGACGAATAGAGAAAGTCTTGAGAGTTGAGGAAATAGGTTCCTAGTATATTGAGGTGACGATTAGGATCTTTAATTCATAAGAATTATTGTATATAAGTTAAGTCTTTGAATTTTGTCGAATTCCAAAGGGGAATAGATTTAAGTTAGAAACTAGATTGATTTGAGTTTTGTCGGGTTGATTCTTATTGATTTTCATTGAATAAATTGTTGTTTGATTTTTACTAAATTTTGTAAATAGTTATTATTAGAATTATTTATTAAATATTTGATTTTGTTATTGACAAACTTTGTCATTATTTAATTCGGTGCACGCTTAAAGTCCAGGCCTGGCACACTAACGCGAATCCGCGTAAAGTACCCGTTAGGGAACGGCTGTTTCCGGCACACAGTCGTATCGTTAATCGTTGGAAAAGTCGGAAAAATAATATAGTACTTTACAAATTATTTAGAACTAACTATAGTTATATTAAATAGTAAATTATTATACAAAAAGTATTATATAGAATGTTCTACTGGTAAAGTTATAGGCTACACTTCAAATCTAATATACCTCCTTATAAATTAAAAAAAAAAAACACCTTTCAGATGCATGTTAAATGATAGTGTCAACCGTATTTTCAGAGAAAACAATCAGTTTAAAAAAATGACTACGGGAATACCTAATATAAATTCTGAAAATACAAGTAAACATTAGAATTAATAACAACGTGGGACTGAAGCTACATGAGAGGTGAAATGTCATCGTTTTTAATAATCGTGAAACAGATGCTTACAGAAGTGAAAGTAAAGTCACATCACATTGTAAAATGAAAATTGTAATAAAGCAGTTGGCTTCACAGTCTTATGGATTTGGTGTATTTGTTTTGCTTTAAGGTCTGGAAACCAATAATTTAATAATTGTAAGTTCATTGTTTGTTTCCCTCCCTTTTGGTTATAATATATTTAATCACTTACTCAGACTCAGCTTCTAAAGCAATATACTAGATACATCCAACACACCTTATTGCTGAGAACATATATTTCTTACACAAAACTAACATTTTCGGCCCAATGTATGGGCCATCTTCAGGTTACCGTTGTTCGACTCTAATACAAAATCGAACACGTTCAAAATTAAACCAAAATAGAACATACGTTTAAATTAAACTAATAGAATAAGCATAACCAAAATAAAACAATAAATAATAAAAAACCAAAATAACACAAAAAATAAAAATAAAATACGGTGATTAGCCGTAAACACTAAGGAACAATTCCTTATACATTAACCCAGAAACCTATTGAGTCACGGCAGACGCATTATTACGCGTGTTACTTCTTATTATGAATTTCCAGGATGACTGTAACACCGTCGAATCCTTATAATTTAAACATCTGTCAGCCAAACTCGCTGTGTAAATTTCGCATTTCTCAGTTATGGATGACAGCGTTGGCAAGCGTACTTTCGCAAGAATTTTGGCATCCTCCCATTTAACAATCGAACCATCCGCTTGCGCCATTTTGGATAATGCTGTTGCACACTTGTTTTTTGCGACATCGTATCGGTGCTCCTTCCGGCAAATTCTAATGACCCAACGGTTTATAAACTATCCGCATTTAGGGCGCTAATCAGAAGAGCGTTTTTGTATTGCTCAAATGTAATGGACCCGATGGATGAGCTGGATAGGATCAAAAAGGTTGCAAAGGAGTTATGGTTTGGAACAAGATCTATAGAGCGTTTAATAGCAGCATACGTAAAGCCTAGGAGCAGCTCTAAGAAGAAACCGGAAGCTGGGGGTAACTTCGCAAAGTTTACGTATAATAAATGTCTCTTCCCGATTATAAAGCAAATAGCGAGACACAAAAACGCCAGTATAATATACAAAAGGGCCCCCACAGTGTATAGGTTTATTAGAAATGACAAAGAAAGAAAGAAAGAAATTGATGATAATGAACAGGCAGGAGTATATGCAATTCCCTACAAAAATGACCAGTTGGGAATTGATAAGGACTACGTAGGGGTCACTAATTATGATGTGCCGGATCGTTAAAAATGTATATCCGCGGATACGGATACGGATACGGATCATTAGTGTCTAGATCCGCGGATACGGATACGGATACGGANTTTGGCATCCTCCCATTTAACAATCGAACCATCCGCTTGCGCCATTTTGGATAATGCTGTTGCACACTTGTTTTTTGCGACATCGTATCGGTGCTCC